AGTCTCTGCAAAGAAATGGAGATATAAAGAAGAACCAAGTGGAAATTATAAAACTGAAAAACACAATAAAACAACAATAACAGGGTGCCTGGGTGGCTCAGTTGGTTAAGCGACTGCCTTTGGCTCAGGTCATGATCCTGGAGTCCTGGGATCGAGTCCTGCATCAGGCTCCCTGCTCGGCAGGGAGTCTGCTTCTCCCTCTGGCCCTCCTCCCTCTCATGCTCTCTGTCTCTCATTCTCTCTGTCTCAAATAAATAGATAAAATCTTAAAAAAAAAAAAAAATAACAAATGTAGAAAATAGAAGAAAGAAGCAGTGAAATTGAAGAGAGAAAAATAAAAATAACCCCGAGCAACAGAGAAAAAACAGACTAAATACAAAAACAAACAACAAAAACAGCAACAACAACAAAAAAAAACAGAGCCTGGGGGGTTTGTGGGGTATAACAAGAAATCTAAAAATTGTGTTAGTAGAGTCCCAGAAGGATAAGGGAAAGAGAGTGGGGCTAAACATATATTCAAAAAAATAATAGCTGAAATTTTCCTAAATTTTTTTTTAAAGATTTTATTTATTTATTTGACAGAGAGATAGCAAGAGCAGGAACACAAGCAGGGGGAGTGGGAGAGGGAGAAGCAGGCTTCCCACCAAGCAGGGAGCCCAATGTGGGGCTTGATCCCAGGACCCTGGGATCATGACCTGAGCCAAAGGCAGACGCTTAACAACTGAGCCACCCAGGCACCCTGAAATTTTCCTAAATTTGGCAAAAGATACAAATCTACAGATTCCAGAGGCTGAGTGAATTCCAAACAAATCCACACCAAAACATATCAAAATCAAATTTGTGAGAACTAAAGACAAAACCTTGAAAGCAGTGAGAGAGAAATGAACACCTCACTTATTTTTTTTTTAAGATTTCATTTATTTATTCAACAGAGAGAGACACAGCGAGAGAGGGAACACAAGCAGGGGGAGTGGGAGAGGGAGAAGCAGGTCTCCCGCTGAGCAGGGAGCCCAATGCGGGCTCAATCCCAGGACCCTGGGATCATGACCTGAGCCAAAGGCAGATGCTTAACAATTGAGCCACCCAGGCACCCTGAAATTTTCCTAAATTTGGCAAAAGATACAAATCTACAGATTCCAGAGGCTGAGTGAATTCCAAACAAATCCACACCAAAACATATCAAAATCAAATTTGTGAGAACTAAAGACAAAACCTTGAAAGCAGTGAGAGAGAAATGAACACCTCACTTATTTTTTTTTAAGATTTCATTTATTTATTCAACAGAGAGAGACACAGCGAGAGAGGGAACACAAGCAGGGGGAGTGGGAGAGGGAGAAGCAGGCCTCCCGCTGAGCAGGGAGCCCAATGCGGGCTCAATCCCAGGACCCACGACCTGAGCCAAAAGCAGACACTTAACAACTGAGCTACCCAGGCGCCCCGACACCTCACTTATAAAGGACAAGAATTTGAATAACAACAAATGTCTCATCACAAACCTCATCACACGCCAAAAGGAAATGCAAAACATTTTTCAAATGCTAAAATAAAAGGACTAGCAACCCAGAATTTTATATCCAGCAAAAATATCCTTCAGGAATGAAGGGAAAAAAATCAAGACATTCTTAGAAGAAAGAAAACTTAAGATAAGTTGTTACCAGTAGATCTACTTTAAAAGAATGGCTAAAGAAAGTACTTAATCAGAAAGGAATTATGAAAGAAGGCATCTTGGAACATCAGGAAGGAAGAAAGAACAATGAAAGAGTAAAAATATGAGTAAATACAATAGACACTTTCTTAAGTTTTTTAAGTTAACAGTTCTGCTGTGGTTTTCAGTGTGTGTAGAGGAAATGTTTAAGACACTGTAAAGGTATTGAAATGATGAGAGGGGTAGGTGAGTATGATTATAAAGGGGTAGAGATGAGGGAGATCTTTGTGGTGATGGAATAGTTTTGTATCTTAATTATAGAGTGGTTCCACAAATCTGTATGTGTGATAAAATGGCATTGAACTGTGCACACACATTTTACCAATATCAAATTTTCTGGTTTCCACATTGTGCTATGATTATATAAGATGTATCCATTGGGGGAAATTGGGTGGAGGATATGGGGGATCTCTCTGTACTATGTTTGCAGCTTCCTGTGGATCTACAATTATTTCAAAATAAAAACCAATTTTAAAAAGACAAAGAAATTGTATGAAATTCAAAAAAAAAAGGAATACCTAATAAGTGAAAACAAAATGAAACAAATCCAACTGTGTATTCAGTTCATGGCACAACCACTCAGAGGAACTCTTTCAAGTGACCTTAAAACACAGTAATCGGACTCTACATCCTTAATGGGTAATACCTTAAGGACAAAAAGAATTAGAAAAAGAAGGAGGAGGAGAAGAAGAAGAAACCATTTCAGTAATTTCATTGTTGGAAGTCTCATTTTATTCTGATACTCTGGTGTGTATGTTGTGGGATAAAGCAAATAAGTAATTATGTCAGCATCATTAAGAGCCAGGATTTTTTTGGTGTGGGAGAAAGGAGACACACAATTAGGATAGTTAAGTAAAAACTGTATAAAACTGAATTGAATGCGAAATATAGGTGTATTTTCTCTTTTCAGAGAAGAAATCATATTTCTTAGATCTACTCACTAAAAAGTCCTAGAAACAGCAACCAACCCAGCAACAATGAGCACCACCAGATTATGGTCTTTAAATAACATTTCCTACAAAAAGGCAACAGGATTTCTTAGAGAAATATCTGATTCCAGGTCTGGGCAGGAAGATGAGCCTAAAACATCTGTCTTAATACTAGGATAGCAAGGTAGTTATCTGAAACTACTGGGATTCTTTCAAAACACCAACACTGGCCCAAACCCCTACTGGCCAAAGATGGGACAATAGAAGCATCAAAAAGAATAACAGCTACAATGGATTAAAATGTACCCAGTGCATTTAAATCTGTGAATCCATGATGGTACTCAACAAAATAATAACTTTATTGATCACCTTTGGTAAATACTAGGGAACCAACTCATTGTTTTGAAAACTGGTAAATACATTATTTACAATAGCCAAATTACAGAAGCAGCCCAAATGTCCACCGATAGATGAATGGATACAGAAGAAGTGGTATATATACACAATGGAATATTATGCCCTTATAAAAAGAATGAAATCTTGCCATTTGTAACAACATGGATGGAGCTAGAGAGTACAATGCTAAGTTAAAATAAGTCCATCAGAGAAAGACAAATGATGATCTCACTCATATGTGGGATTTAAGAAACAAAACAAACAAGCAAAGAAAAAAAAGAGAAAGAGAGAGAGATAAACCAAGAAACAGACTCTTAACTACAGAGAACAAACTGTTGGTTAGCAGAAAGGAGGTGGGGGGGGGGGATGAAATAGGGGATGGGGATTAAAGAGTACACTTATCATGATGAAAAATAAAATAAACTGGTAAATAAAGGGGCAAAATTATCCCACCTTTCATAGGTGAACTATACCTCACAATAACCAAAATTTTAATGAGGAGATGTCTCTCTTTATAGAAGTTATAGAGCTCAGAAATGAAAAAATAGTGACAGCCCTTGAACTGAATGTTACCTTTTTGCAGCCCTTAATTGAATAAAGGACCTAGGCAACTACCATGGAAGGCTGCTAACATCAGTAAAAGAGAGATAACCAGGCAACGTGAGGCTCGTGATGGAAGTACACACCGCCACTTAGGAGTTGTTCTTGCCCAAAAAAACTGAACTTGAATCTGCTCAAGTCTCTAGTCCTAACTACCAATTCACAGGAATAACACCATGGGGATGCAATCAGAAAATCTAGACTCTGGGAAACCCTACAGTGCAAACAACCCAGTTTCTTCCACAAATAACATGCAAGGGGGAGAGAGACAGATACACACACACACACACACATACACACACACACACCCCAAGACCTACAGATTTAAAATGATTGAAGAAACACATCAGCCAATTACAATGTAGGGATCCTCTTTGGATTCTGATTTCAACTACAGGGGGAAATAAATGTTGAACAAATATTTGATTCTATTAATGTCTTATTGTTAAGTTGGAGCTTTGATAGCTATTGTGGATTTGTTTATGTCATTACCATTTACAGATACATACTGAAAAATTTACAGACAAAATAATATGTTGCCTTGGATTTACCTCAAAATAACCAAGGGTCAAGGAGGGAAGTGGGCGGTGAGTATAAATGAAACAAGACCGGCCATGAGTTGATCATTGTTGACGCTGGGCAATTAATACATGCACACTCATTTTACTGTTCTCTCCACTTTTGTATGGATTTGAGATTTTTCATAATAAAAAGTTTTTTAAATATACCCATATAGAGCCAGAAAACTGCATTACTTTGGTTGCCTCTCTAATCTCTACCCACTGGTCTTTATTCTGTTCTCTGGTGCCTATTAAGACTAGTGTCATAGTAATAATAATAGTAATATCAACAATAATAGCCAGCATTTTTGGAACACATACTTACTATGAGCTAACTCATAAGCCTTTTATGAATATTTCCATTTAATCCTGACAAAATCCTAAAGTAAATACTATTATTATTCCCATTTTACAGGTGAGGAACCTGAGGGAGAGAGGTGTGATGAAGGAGCCAAGCCTCAAACCCAGATCTGACTGCGGATTTCCAGCTTATAACCACTAAGCTACAAAAGGGCAAAAGATGAAGATGGCTGTCACGTCCTCAGTCTTCCCTTTTGGGGGGCTAAAGCCTGAGTTCTTCCACTCTGCCGCTGCCTCCTCCCCAGTGTGGCGTCTCTGCCCCACACCACCCTTGGAACATGCGCCAAGAGCTAGGAAAGTGGTTGAGGTTCTTGAGAGTCTCCCAGGCCTGCGGAACAGCCTGCCCTTCCTTCCCCAGCCACCCTGCGGAGATTCCCGAGTGCGGTCTAGTCCTCCTCCATCCAGACACAAAGCCAGAACGTGCACACGTGCCGGGGGGGCATGGCTCACCTGGGCCGCGGTGCCTCTTCTCCATCCAGATATAGCAGTTGTTCTGGGCCACCCCGGTCTGCGAGTCCAGGAAGGGGAGGCGCACGCTGCGCTCTGCACAGAGTCGCGAGTTATAGCTGCGGCAGTGCTCAATGGCTTCCTTGTAGAACTGGTCCCCAAGCCTGCCCGGGAGAGGAAGAGAGGAGGAGTGAGGCCAGGGAAAAATGGAAGCACACACAGAGGGAAACTGATGTTACCCACCTCCCTCCCTGGGGAAATGATGGAGTTATGAAGACCCAGGCGATGAGGACCAATAGCCTTGCCAAGGGGCAGAATCCAACTTGGTGTCAGGTCTCAATCAGGTTATATTTCCCATACCAAATCCACCAGGGAATTTAGAATCCCCTTTAACAAAGAGCCTAGGGCCCCTAGATAAACCACCAGTAAAGTGACAAGTCCCTGTTTCAGGAAGCATGAGGTCCTGCTCCAGGATAGAGGTGGCTCTGAAACAGTCTTCTACCCGGGTTCTACCAGGAGCTCAGGCTTCTAGAGTCCCCTCATTAACATCCTCCGTTAGCCAGACTTTGTTCTCAGTAATTGCCAGCAAAGGCACTCTAGAATGAACCCAAAACACCAGTATCGATGCATGGCTTTCCAATACAACAGAAGAGAAACACCCATATAAACACAGACTAGAAGAACAGAGGAAATATCCCCTAAAAGTAGAGCTATTGTGGTGAAAGGAGGTGAAGAGAGGCATGCACCAACCTTTTTTTTTTTCTTTTTCTTCATTTTATTTTATTATGTTATGTTAATCACCATACATTACATCATTAGTCATTATTTGCATATAACACCCAGTGCTCCATTCAATACGATGCACCAATCTTTTAAAACCACACACTTAAAGAAAAATGACGTTCTAACCGAAAACAAAGGAAGCATTTGTAATAAGAGTTGAATTTTGAATTCAAGATAATCTAATCCCTGGGATCTAAAACACAAATAGAAAGACCTTTCTGGTTTGTTGGAGTGGTGATCTGATTAAGCACAGTAAATTTTATGTTCCTGAATCTTTGGTATCCTTGGACATGTGGTGATGCTACTAATTTTAAGATAGTATCCTTTTCAAAGACCAAAAATATAACATTGGTAAAACTGATCAAATGTAAAGAAAAAAAAAATCAGTGAGATCAAATACCTAACAAATAAAAGACAGGCACATGTTGGAGGTTAATAAATGCCTCAAGGAAATACAAATGTCATAACCTAGCCTCTGCCAGGTAGAATTGTACTTCTTTGTGGGGAGCTGTGGGGAAAGGCAGAAGGGAGGAGCCACAGGGATTGTTGGGCCAGAAGGGAGAATCAAATAGCTCACTTTGAAGCAACATTATGAATGTCCTTTTGTTTTGGTTCTATGTAGATTTGAAGAAGCCAAAATCAGGGTGAGAAAGTCTCGGAGTTAAAAATAATAATTTCTGGGGCGCCTGGGTGGCTCAGTTGGTTGGGCGACTGCCTTCGGCTCAGGTCATGATCCTGGAGTCCCGGGATCGAGTCCCGCATCGGGCTCCCTGCTCGGCAGGGAGCCTGCTTCTGCCTCTGACCCTCCCCCCCTCTCATGTGCTCTCTCTCTCTCATCCTCTCTGTCTCAAATAAATAAATAAATAAATAAATAAATAATATATTTCTTAACCAAAATATTTAGAGAACTAAAGAAAGCAAAATTTTAGAGGGATTTTTCTATACTCTTTAAAAAAAAAAAAATCAGCAGGTCAGAGTCTACCAAAGAATTTAAAGCAAATTTCTTATTCTGGGACGATACAACCATTGAAGCTTCTGAGGCATCTTTTGGAAATTACTTATTGACATACCACTTAAAAAAAAAAAAAGGCCCCTTTGCTCCTTTTCCCCCTCTAAACATCTTCAGCCTCACAAGGAAGGCATAATGTGCTCAGAAAGTGTCCTAGCAGTTGCAAAACCAAACTGTAATCAAATTATAATAGCCACACAGCTGGAAATGAATTGGGGGGATGGAAGCCTATTAAAATGCTATAAAACAGAACATGAGCTGATGTAATCAAAGATGGTAACAAGGATCATGAGATTGATCAAAAATAAAGAACCATTTCCTACAAAGCGTTCACATCTGTGTCCCACCGAATTCAATGCCTCCACTGCTAAAGCTCAGGGTGACAGAACTTTCCCAGACAGCTCAGTGCAGCCAAGATGACACACAGCCCCATCCAGGGCATCCTGGATGCTCCAGCTCCTTCATGAAACAGCGACCAGCCGCACCACGTTGATGAGAACTGACAAGAACAGGTAACAGAGAGGTGTCCGATGTGAGAAACAGCCATCTGGTTTCCCACGATCTTTTGGCAGATGGCCAAAGTAGATGTTAACTCTTCCAACCCCAGAAATTCTGCTGAAAGAGAATCCATAAACCAAGCAAATGGCACACTAGAACTCTAGACTGGAGAGAAGGTTTCCATCTTCAAAACAAATTCGGGAAGCCGGGATAAAAGAAAACGACAGCAGGATCTCAAATTAGACTTATCCTGATACGCTCCTAACTTGCTTCCAACATCCCAAAGAGAGGCACAAGAAAGGGAAGTTGCTGAAAATGAAAAGTGAGTTTGGCCAAGTCCATGCCCCACACCGAATGGAACGAGAAAGTCAAACAAAGTGGTGCGCTGGGCGAAAATTAATTTCATCTTAAATACTTTCCACTTTCCGTAACATGCGATGTTATTAGTAACAGGCATGCTGGGGGGGGTGGGGAGCAGGGATGTGTATTTTTAAATGTAATCTTTGTGTGAACGATACCTTTCTTATGTAAACAGAGAAACCCTTCTCCAGACTGGAACAACCGTATTAAAGATTGAACCTGCAAAAATGTGACATCCAACACCCTCCCTGCCCCTGTCTCCAGGGAAGTCACTTTTAAACAGACCAGGCGTTGGCAGCGACTCGGAAACAAAAGTTTAAAGCCTTTTTCAAGATACAGGAGGAGAAGAGAGACTTCAGCCTTTTTGATAAATTCAAGCAGAACCGCTCCGAAAGTTAATTAGCCAAAATCTTCACGGGGCTTGTTCTGCTCTCAAGAAGAAAATCGATGGCCAGGTCTCCCTAACCCGTGGAAAGCAATTTAAACAAGAGAGAGGACAAATGTCCTTTTTAATATGGGATTTCTTAAAAAAAAAAAAAAAGATCCCACAATGATAGGATCCCAGGGGTGACATTTGCATTCAAGTTGCGAGGGGGGGGGGGCAAGGCTGGCAGTGGGTGGTGACCAGCATGTCCCAGGCTGGTCACCCAGCCTTGGCCATCACCTGTCTGCATCAAACCAAGGGGGCTGGGTTACCACGGGCTGATGGATGTCTTGGGCTGGAAGAAGCTCGCACAAGGCAGAGTAGAATGATGTTCTCATCAACAGCCTCGTTCAGGCTACCCGAGGCTACAATCAGAAGCAGGAGTGGCACAGCGGGACACATTGCTGGGCTCTGTCCCCCACGGCCTGCGGCTTAGAGCAGCGCTGGCTGCCCCGTTCTGGGGGCGCCGTGAGGGGTGAGATCCCCCAGCGATCAAATCTGGAGTAAGGCATAGTTCTCAGAGCTTTCCAGTGACCCTCCTTGAGCCTATCTGTGGAAAAAATGGATTCCAGGGAACCGAAGAGGATGCGGAGGGGTACAAGACTTCTCTGAAACGATTGCCAACTAGGCTCCAAATGTGCTTTTCAGAGCCCATCACAGCCCCTCCAAGACCCTCTGCTCCTTTTCTTCCTCATGCTTCCACCTCTCTCTCTCTCAACACCTTGCCTGTTCTCTTCTATTCCATATCCACTGGCCTGAGCTGACTCTCAGATCCAACCCTCTAACCCAGGCACCTGGAGCCCTCCCTCTTTACTGTCCCTCTGGTCCTATGTTCTGACCCAAGAACAGGTGTCCTGCCATACCCCAAACACGTGTCCAAAAGCAAATTCCTCATCTCCTGCCAGAAGCCTGCTCCCTCCCCAGAGTCTCCATTCTTCTGGGGTTGTGGGGGGAGGGGGAGACCTAAGAGAACCCCGTATTTCCCCAGCAAGGTGTCCTTGACCCTTCCCTTTCCCTCTGGCATTGGATTCTTTCATTTCTCAGGAAGTTGCCTCTTCTGTCCATTCCTGCTGCATGGCCACCAGTCCCCTTTGACTGTAAAAACAGGACCTTGGCCCATCATTGCTATTTGTGCACATAAACAGAGATAAGCAGAGATAACAAGAAGCCCTAGCCTGTGGCAGGATCTCTGGCCCCTCCTTCCCCACCATGGGCCCCTCCTCCTCTCTGCGGGCACCTGGATTTCCTGCTCTCACCCAACTGCCCACACTTGCACCACCACCCACAAACACACATTAAGACTCATTGACACCAATATGCTAACCTCCTCCTGTTTGCATTTAAATATATTTAACTCTAACTGTGCTGTGGAAAGCATTTTATAATAACTAGCAAGCAGGGGGCAATATTTGGCAAGGTGGAAGAACCTCTTCGTTTTCCTCACAGTGACACTGTTCCTAAAGCCGCCCTTCAAAGAAAGCCAGGTTGAGTATTTGCTGTGGACTGAATTGTTTCACCTGAAATTCATGCACTGAAGCCCTAACACCCTAATGTTCTAGTATTTGGAGATGGGGCCTTTGGGAGGTAATTAGTTCATGAGGATGGAGCTCTGGTGATGGGATTGGTGCCCCTATAAGAAGAGATAGGAGAAGGACATCTCTCTCTCTCTCTCACTCTCTCTCTCTCCCTCTGCCATGTGAGCACACAGCAAGAAGGCAGCCATCTACACCCAAGAAGTTTCTCACCAGAACAAGACCATGCTGACTCCCTAATCTTGGACTTCACAGCCTCCAGACATAAATATCTGGGGGAAGTAAATAAACATCTCTCGTTTAAGCCACTCAATCTCTGTTGTCTGTCACAGCAGCCCAAGCTAAGGCAGTGTTTCTGATATTTAAAAGAAGAAAGGCCTGTAGATGGTGGAGCAAGATTCCAGTCCCCTTCTTCCCTCATTCTGTCCTCTTCCAACAAAGATGGCAACAGTAATACTATTCATGAGGTCAATTTCAATTCCATGCCATGCTTACTGTTTATCTTCTTTACAAGACTATAAACTCTATGAGGGCAGAGACCACATCTGCGGGGCCACT